TACATTTCTAGAGGTAGAATTGCTGAGTTGGAGGATATGTTCTTGAGAATTGATCAACAACAAAAGAGGTCATTTTGATTTCTGATGCCACCATCAATGTATGAGAAGGCCTGCTTCCCCATATTCTCATAACATAGGATTTTGGAATGTAAAATATTAACTAATTTCATCGTCCCCTAGTGTTTTGAGATTACTAGTGGTCTTGGTAGGTTGGGGCTTCCAGGGGTTTATTTACATGAGAGATTGAGGAAGTTCATCGTTAGATACACTATCCCAAGGGAGAGTCGAGTTGCACAGCTTTTGTTTGGAGACAAGCAGTGACGCAGGAGAGAGATGCAGGAGGTAATTCCGAGGGCAGTGTTATATGTCATTTAGTCTGTCCTCCAGCCCTTTTGGAAGCTGAGGGCAAGAAGATCGTAATAAAAATTAGTAAAAGCTAAAGTAAGCTGTTTCATAGAAGAGGAACTTTGGGAGTGTAATATGTTTACATGGGTACCAGCAGTAATGGGCTCTGCCTTCAGTAGAGTCAGCTCCTTGATGAGGCATCCATAATGGGCATTGGTAGGAGCACACTGGATGTCAGTGCTCTTGATTTTAGCCAGTGTCAGCCGTGACATGTCTGTTAGTGGGAATCAAAAGCTGCGTTGGTACATTTGCTGGACATCTGAACACCAAAGCCATCCCTTTTGACATCAGCAGTGCCTGGAAACCCTTAGAACTTAGAAGTGATTACGAGGAAAATGGTGGATCTGTCTGATAGTACAGAAGGCCCATCATGGTGCACTTTTAAGATATTTCCTTAGGAAATCTCAGCACCCTTCACGAGAGATTTTGGCTGAGATTTTCTGCAGAATGAGAAATACTGTTTCTAACTTGTATTCTGAGTGACTATTGCCTACCTGCTTTTTATGGCCCATGGAATACAGGTTATACGTGGGATTATGGAATAATGCCAGGTGATAATTAAAGAAAACATAAAACAGGGCGTTTCTAAGTACTAAAAAAAACTTTGCTTAACTCTTAGAAACATGATTTGTTGAATTGACATCTTGACAATTACCAACACGTTGTCAGTCATATTTTACCACTTCACCCCTTGATTAATTTATAGCAAGTTCCTCATTACATCATTTCGTCGGTCAATTTCAGTTTGTATCTCCAAAATACAATAAAGAACTCTCCTTTTAAAAATACATACTGGGACTGGGGCTGGCCCCGTGGCCGAGTGGTTAAGTTCGTGCACTCCGTTGCAGGCGGCCCAGTGTTTCGTCAGTTTGAATCCTGGGCGCGGACATGGCACTGCTCCTCGGACCACACTGAGGCAGCGTCCCGCATACCACAACTAGAAGGACCCATAACTAAGAATATACAACTATGTACCGGGGGGCTTTGGGGAGAAAAAGGAAAAAATAAAATCTTAAAAAAAAAAAAAAATACATACTGGGACTGGCCCAGTAGCACAGCGATTAAGTTTGCACGTTATGCTTTGGTGGCCTGGGGTTTGCCGGTTAGGATCCTGGGTGCGGACATGGCACTGCTCATCAAGCCATGCTGTGGCCGGCGTCCACATATAAAGTAGAGTAAGATGGGCACGGATGTTAGCTCAGGGCCAGTCTTCCTCAGCAAAAAGAGGAGGATTGGTGGCAGATATTAGCTCAGGTCTAATCTTTCCCCCAAAAAGAAAAAGAAAATACATACCATCATCATCTCTTTAAAAAAAGCGACAGTATTTCTCTAATATCATCAAATATCCAGTTGGCATTCATGCTTCCTTTCCTGTCTAATCTTCTTTTTTTTAATAGTCTAAATCATGATTTAAGCAAGATCTATGAATTGTGATACTGTGATTTGTTAGTCTCTTAAATCTCCTTTAATCTAAATTTCAAATTTCCTCCTCCAAATGTTTTTTTATTCCTTTCCATTTTTTTTTAATATGTGGAAAAAACCAAGTTTTTATCCTGTACAGTAGTGGCTTTAAGATTTCTTGGTCTCAGGTCTCCTTTACAGTCTTAAAAATGATTGAAAACCCCAAAGAGATATTATTTGTGTAAATTATATCTGTCAATATTTACTGTATTAGAAATTAGAATAGATAATTTGAACTATTTATTTAAAAATAGTAGTAAATCCATTAAGTTAGTATATGTAATCATAATTTTTATGAAACATAAACATAGTTTCCAAAATTAAAAAAAATATGAGAGAAGTGGTGCTATTTTACATTTTTGCAAATCTCTTTATTGTCTGGATTAATAGAAGGTAGCTGCCTTTTCCTCTCTGCTTGTGTGTTCAACCTGTTGCTGGATGTTGTTTTGATTGAAGTATGTGGAGAAAACCTGCTTCTTGCAGATACAGGGTTGGAGAAGTGAGGAGAGTTTCAAGTCTTTTAATTTAGTGGTGGACGTTCTTCTTTGATACACCACCAAAACTTGACAAGGGGTAGTTTCTTAAAGGTTAGTTGCAGTGTGCAATTTGAAACCTATCAGTGAGCTTTTCACGTTCTGTTACATTAAAATCCATTGGTCTGTCTTGCACTTGGAGTGGTTCTATCACCTATGCATAATTTTGCAACATCAAGCATTGGACATTTGGAAAATACTGCTTCACCAAGTTATGCAGATCGTCCAAATGTTGACATATTTCATTATGAAATATTTTCAAAATCATACGCATTAATATCACCACCCATCTCCTTAGAAAAGAAGTTATTGGGAAGCTGTCAAGCTCATGGTGGTAGACACAGGTTTTCCAAAATTCTGATTTTCCCTTGAATGCTCAAATGTTATCATTAGCAACAAATACTGTCAGTGTTTTCTTTGATGTGAAAGACTCACTTCGTTTATTTTTGACAAAATATTTGCCAAATATCCAAACCTGAATAAACCTAGTTTGTTAAATAAAAATGGCATTCCCTGAAAACAGCTTGTTGAGCTTGCCTTCCAGGCAATTCACAAGTGCTTTTCCCTGGGACACCCATGGTACTTTGGCATGCCCAGGTGCTTGATGTTTCATCACACAGAATGTTAAAGATGTATATCCAAATATCAAGACTTCATAAAATTTATTATTTTGGCTTTGTCAAGGAAGTCCAGGATGGTCTTTAATAATATATGGTGGTAAAAACAACGACTCCTACTGCACCTGGGGGCTGCTGCCTCTGCAGTTTACCCGGTTTGCTTTTGCACCATCAATGCACATGTCAACATAATGAAGAAGGCAAATAATCTGTTAGTATTTTTATGCAAATAGTTTTGACTTCTTGGACCTTTTGAAAGGGTCCCAGGGCTCCCCCAGGATCTGTGCACCACACTCTGAGAAACGTTGCTAAAGAATTTCTGACAGTCCGAATTCTCCTGCTTTTATCGTTTTGGTGTGATTTAACATGTTCCTTTGCCTCTGGTATTTCTGTAAATAGACTTAATCAGATTAGCTTTGATTTCATTTTTTTCTGGCAAGACTACCTCGTATTTGGTGTTGGGCTTGCATTCTCAGCAGCCATTGATGGTCGTTGTCTGGAGCATTAATTTCTTAAGGGTTGCAAATGGTAGTGTTTCAGTTCTGTCATCCCTTCTTTATGTATTAGGAGGAATTTTTTCCTAAAAGGAAACTTCCTTTCTACCCTGAGATATAATTCACGTAGATGTCGTGTGATATAAGCGGGATAAATCCTTGTTTCTTTTTCCAAATAATGAGTTGGTTCCCTTGCACCCCCCACAAGTGATCAATGAGGTGTTCTTGGTTTTTTATTTTTTTGTTTTGAATATCCTCGTGAACCTGTGGATTTAAATTTATTTGATGTATGTCAAATCACTGCATCTAGTATCCTTGCCTTGGCTAGCAGGAGCCTCATCAGGTTGGCTTCTGAGTTCTTTTGATATAACCTCCGTTATCCTTATAGCGTCCTTGCTTCTTGGTTTGACACGATGTTTCAGGCTTATCCTGTACATATTTCCTGCCACTGAATAGAAATCAGCTTCCTTGAGAAGACCTTCCAGAAATGATACTTAGAGACCACAATCTGAGCACTTGGCTGCTCATTCATTGGTTATTTATAGACTTCTTTAATGGACAAAGCTAGAAAATATGCATATGTTTTTACAGATAAAATGCATCATGAATCACACTGATACTTCCATTCAAATTTAGGACCCATCTGTCTTTCATCACTTGTCAATGACACCAACATACTTACTTGTTTGTTTTATCCCATGCTACGCAGACAACAGTGTCAGAGTAACAATAGCAGTACCACTACTAACAATATGATGGTGGAAAATAGTTTGTTTTGCAATTTAAAAAAAAGAAAATGAAAAGCGTTATTATGGTTTAGCTAGCTGAATTGGTTATCTTAATGGAGTCTTATTATTGGTGTTTACATTTTGAGACTGTTTTCCTGTTTCCCAGAACATCAGACTGGCAGATTTTTCCACTGAATTCAATAAATCAATTTATTGAACGAATCCATCACACCGTCTATTCATTGTATTGACACAGCAAACTGGGTTGACACATTTAGTGTAGATGACAGTCAATAATGGACTAGAATTTCTATTTCTTTTTTATTATCTAAGTGGCTTCTTTTTTATTAATATTTTATATTAATTCCATCCTCAATCCATACCTACTCTCTTTTCAATGTCTTAAAACAGTAAAAACTACTTAGAGGGAAAGGAATTCTGTTCACATGGCATCATGATTTTCTGTTTTAAGTCTATATGCTATGAAACAATGAATTCCTTTTCTTTGTAAGAATAGATAAAATTTACTGCAACGCTTTTTAACTGAGAATTTTTTTTATTTTTTCTTCTATAATTTACTGTGGCTTGCACTAGAAAAAATGTTAATGATATTTTTGAAGCAGTTATTTCTAGATCTATGGATATGGGATATTGTGGTCAAGAAAAATTATGTAATTAAGAGAAACTGAAGTAATGACCACGAAAATAAAAACTGGTCTAATTTGGAATATTTAGTGATGTGCCTTTTTTCCCCCTTTCCAGGTTAAAAACTAAATCATGACTGACTCTGCCTCTAGCACAAGTGGTCAAGAGTTTGATGTCTTCAGTGTTATGGACTGGAAAGATGGAGTAGGCACCTTACCGGGAAGTGACTTAAAGGTGAGCTCTCTTTGTAACATATCGTTATACATGTGTGTGCATCTGTGTGTGTTTATTGTTAAAATAAACTTGAACAGTACATATGTGAAGTAAGAATTAAAAGCGTTAAGTGTAATACTGTAGGTTTTATATGATGCTTAGACTTCTACAGTAAACTCTCAAGACAATTTGAAATGCTGATGCCTTTGTCAGTGGGGTAGAGGACTAAGGAATATTTTGGCAGCATGTGCTCATTTTGCAGAAACTGAGTCATAGCTTCAAGGAGGATCATCTCAATTTTGACTCTATTGGGATGGCCAATAAACGTGGAAATGGTAGAGTTAGAAGACCTGGCTTCATATATCTTGCAGTAATGGGCTTTGTAACTTTAACTGAATAACCACACTCCCTGTGTCCTAGTTTTCTCATTTAAAAACTGAGTAATGCTAAAATATTGAATAAACAGGACTATTCTCCCTTAAATTATTTATACTATAAATATGGAGTTTATGTAATTTCTTGTTCAGAAGCTGCCCCTTTCTGTGCACCAGGCTGCTTTTGTAGACATGAGGACTCTCTTCAGAGAGCCGTGCTTCAGGCTGCTCCTCTTCCCCTGCGCCCCAGCCCTACTCAGGGCCACCCACGTCTACTGCCCTGTGAGGCCTGGTTACACGGCACCCATCTGGGAAGCCAACCACCCCCACCTGTCGTTTCTCATTTGCTTTTGCTCTGATCCTATCTCTGGGACCTTGAACCTGTCTGTGGCCCTTTAGACTTTGTGTTTGTACTTGTCACTCAGGTGTTTGAACTTCCCATCTCGCTAACTGGCTGTCCCTTGGCTTGGCGTCTCAAATGCTTGGTGTTCTGGCCTGTCTTGAATAGAAATTCCTGCTCTCTAATATTGACCTCTTGAGATCCAGTCCCTTTTAGTGGCTACTTGACAAGTATCTCAGCCAAGCTTGTCCTGGTTCATCTTCAGTGGTGAGATTTGGACAATCTGTCATTGGAAAAAAACTTTGGTTTTGGTTGCGTTAGGTTTAACTGAGTGCAATTTGCTGACATAGCTATCTGAGTTTAGCTGCACAAAAATATGACAGTGAGGTTTAATGAAATCTGGAGAAGAGATTTAGTTTTTAGTTTTAGTTTTGCGTGACCTTGAACAAGTCAGTCTCTCTGGGCCAGTTTCCTCTTCAGTAAAATAAGGAATTAAATGAATACTGAGGATTTTATCTGCTCTAACAGTCTCCAAATGTTCATCTGGATTAGATATAATGGAAATAGAGTGCTGAAAGTTTTGAGAAAGAAAAACTGTTTCCAGACTCTGATAATGTCAGCCACATATTAGCTACATGAGCTCTGTCAGGTTATTTAAATTCCCTAAAGTTTCAGAATCTTTATCTGTAAAATGGGAATACAGGATCTGAGTCATAAAGTGGTTATGAAGATTGAAAAAATATGTAATATAAAAAATATGTAAAACACTTAAATTGTCTTTTCTGACTTTGTGATACATTATATAAACTGCTGTTTTTTTATTGCTTCATTCGCTTATTTTTCTTGTTCATTTTTATCCCTTCTCAGTGGCTTCTTTTTGGTGTCAGATGGATGATGAAGTTTCTAACTTTTGTTTAGTTAGATTTTGACAATAGAGTGACATTTCCATCCCTAAGAAGCGTAGATTGCCTGAAGGTTTTCTAAGCAGTGGATTTTAGGAATTAACCTACTACTTTTATTAAGGCAATCAGGTAATTAAGCCACTTAGTGACTATTGTAAGCTGGATTATTTGATTTGACTTTTAGACTCCTCTAATTACCTGGGTAATTGCCGTGTATCCAGTTCACTTTCTGCCCTGTAGACAGTTTGACACCCCACTTCAAAAAGAAAATTTAGAAATTGTTTTGTACTTTATAACCCTTTTTATCTCAGGAGATTCACGGACTAGCCAGTTGATTATATTACTTAGGATTTCTAAATCACTTGCTCCTATTAAAATTCAAGTTGCTTAAGAGATCTGAGAAACTGATTTTTTACAAAATTAAGATGTTGGAAAGAACTTTGAATAAATCATGAAATTTACTCTCTCACATCATGCTTTGCCTATTTTACACTATTGAAGCTCCTGTATTTTAATTGGATAGGCACGTGGGTTTCCTAATAAACAGTGCACTACCCTGAGATAACCCACGGAAGTTAGTTCAGCCAATACACAGAGACTCAAGTCCTCATCATGGGAACAGGTTTCTATATACTGCAGTTTATTGCCGTTTTGAAAGAACTTTTCTCTGTAAAAGCCCCCTGATTGCTGGCCGGTCAAGTTCTATCACTCCTTCTGCTGAAATCCTGTAGCAGTTGCCTGGATGTCTCCCAGTAAAGGTCAAACCCCTTAAGTTCACCACCGCCGTGTTGGCACGCTCTGGCCCCTACTCTCCTCTCTGGCTGCATCTCCTTCCACTCCTCAGTGCCACCCTGTTTCCTTTCTAGCCCAAACGGCCAGTTGAAGGTTCACTTCTTGGTTCCTTTGAACTGTTCCCTGTTGCTGGCATCCCTCTGCCCTGTCCACACTGGGCTCACTAACCCTTCTATAACCCTTATATAAAGCACGAGCAGCATCTTGTTTGGGTGCAGGAGTGCAAAGAATAGAGAACTTACTCTCTGATGAACACTTTGCCTGCATCTTTCAATTTAATTATGTTCTTTAACCTTTCGGAGGTAGTCTCTATCACTGTTGTCAGTTTACAGATGGGGAAACGGAGAGCCAGAGTGGCTAAGTCATTTGCTCAAGGTCCAGCAGTTACTGGCAGAACTGGGTCTTAAAACTAGGCTTTTCTAATTTTAAAATTGATTCGCTTATCACTGCTGTACCACAGTCTAACAAGACAAAACGTTTTCATATCAAAAGAGATGCGAGGAAAATGTTACAGCCAGTTAGAGGAGGTATTATCATAGCTGGAGGGGTCAGGAGGTTTTGGGAAGCAGATGTCATGTCACTTCATGTGCCTGAAAATAGGTAAGTGCTGCCTGAGGACGTTGAGGGGGCAGGGACCGGAGGAAGGAAGCAGGCGGGTCTCCAGAAGGACTGGCATAGGAACGTGCAGTGTCAAGGGAGAGCAGCTGCTGTCCTCTGGCCCTATTGACAATATTGTGGTCATTAACAAGGCATTTTGGCTTAAACAAGCTTTGGAAACTTTACCATTGCCTAATTTGTGTTTTTAAAATGCAAATTAGTATTCATAGGTTAATATCTCAAGGTCAGCCCTAAGAACAGGCAGGCAGTAAGTGGTAGTGGAAAGGGACGTGGTAGGGCTTCCCGTCCCTAAGCAGTTTCTCTGCCTGAACTTCTAATGGTGTCTGAAATTTATCCACAGAGAATTATTTCTCTGGGTCATAAGGATTTAGTCTTTTGGAGTCCCTCCATAACATGCAGATACACTCCTGAGAGCGATAGCATCTTATCTAGTAAGAATAGTTGCCACTTAACGGAGAGCCAGACTCTGCAGCAGCAGCAAAGAAGAACCCAACTGGAAAATTCACCACACTCTTAATGCACAGTTTCACTTTGTCTTGACTAATGTTCAAATCAGATCATTAGTTACTAATATTCAAATTAGTTACCAAGTATCTTCTCCCATAAAACATATTGGTGAGTAAAACTCACACTTCAACATTGAAAATAATGAATCAAAAATAGTAACCTCAGCAGTGTCTTTTAATGATCTATGGTTAAAGACAGGAAAAAATAGGCAAAAGATCCTTGGCCTCTACAAGCAAAAATAAAGAAGAAAATTGAATCAGCTAAAGGTAGTTCAAACCAAACAAACAGACAGAAACCTTTGCAACTGCTTATATATTTCAGGCATAATGGTTTCTGATTAACCTGGATTTATCCAGTAACAGAAAAAGTTACAAAGTCACCCAGTCTGTTTGATTTTTTTTAATAAATCCCTATTGTAAAGTTTATGATTTTAATATTCTTGGTTATAGAATGGAGTCACCTGATAAATTTTTATACTGCTTTTTAGATGTCTAGGTTAAAAGAACAGGTAACATTAAGAAAAAGAAATAAAAGTGGTAATATCAAGTTTCCATGGTTCCAGAACCATTTGTAAAAGCTTTACCGGTTTCAGAATGTGAGTGTTTTACTGGGGAAAAAAAAATATTAGGAAATGTGGCACTCTTTCTGGAATTCCAGCTGTGGGACTCCAGTTATGTTAGCAGCACCCAACAACCTATATTGTCCAACATTTTCTATGATAGTAGTAATATTGTGGAAGATACAGTAAATCCAAAGTGAGAAGCCAGAAAAAAAAATGTGATCCTGTATCTTTTTGCATATGATCGTATACTTTGGAAACACTTTCAGGTTAATTTTTGAGATAAAGTAACTTTGGTTAGAATAGATGTTCTTTATTTTTTCAGGGTCATAGGGTGCTTTTGAGAATATGATGAAATTTATGAACCCTATCCCCAGAAAAATAGATATGTGCCCATACCATCATTTTGCATTTATTTCATGGGATTCACCAACCCCTAAATCAATCCATGGATCCCTGGCTTACAGGGGTTCACTGTGTCCCTAAGTGTTATTACCTCTTGACTTTGTACTTAGGCTCTAGGTCAGTTACTAGCAATAAATATTAGGAGAAGGAAAAGATAATGGGATTAAATGTTGTATTGTGGGAATTTCACCTTTTAACTTTGAAAGTATTTGAGCCTAAAGCTTCCAGGTGTCAGAGGTCTGAAGTGCGATTTGAAAATTCCACTCAGTGCTGTTCTCCTCAGTGTTTGAGATGCACGGTGGCTTGCGGTTTAGCATAAATTTGGAAACTTAAGCCACAGGAGGCTTTCTGTGTAATGTAAATATTTGGTGCTATTTCTCGCATTTTGTATTTGCCTAATAAGTATAAATTAATGTCATCATATACAAATATAACCTTACTTGCCTGTACTGAATTATAAAGTTCATGCCTATTGGTTTTTTGGTTTTTGTAAAAATTTTCATTCAGAATTTATTTTGTCATATTCTTTAATATCATTAATTAATAATCATGGCTTGTTTTTTCTGCTCTTGCCCAGTAGATGGTACTGTCAGCTTTATTTTGGAATAGTCTATTCTCAGAGTTGATCATTTAAAAAAATTTTTTTTTTCCACAAAGTAAAGTTATTTTTAGCTCCTTTCATTCCAGTTAACTTTTTGCTACCTCCTAGATTGACATTTTTAGGTGAACACACCTAACCAGGCATAGTCTACATGTGATACCTGGGAACTTGTATCTGGACATGTAATAGGGAGAAAATATTTCCCTTCCCTTATCTATTTCAACTTATTCAGTCTACATGGCTTTTAATCATTGTAGACTATGTGCAGAAACTTACTTAAGGTGCTATTTTCACCTGGTGGAAGGAATAATTATTGGTAATTTTTGCTTAAGATTTTTCTGACTTGTGGTCTGAGTCTAGTTTGGTAAAATAAATCATTCCATTGGTATGTTGACCAAATAGATTTTCTTTAGTTTGGGAAATATAAGGCTTTGTTTCAATACTAAATATTTGTCTGCTCATATATATTTCTGTGAAAGATCTAAAAACTTTAGGCAAAAAGTTTTATAATCCTTTTGAATTTTGAGCTTTGTAGCTTTTTATTACCTGTTAAAATTAGTGGATTTCTAATATTCTTTTTTATGGAAAAACAGAAGAAATAGAGAAAACTTTGAACTATGAACTAGCTGTTTCAAAGAGGATGGGGCCCCTGCACGTAGGTAGTGGGTAAGCCTTCAACACCCACACAGAACAGCCAGGCTGTTGCAGAAACATACTTGGTTTGATGCTTGCCATAAGATGAGAAGGGATTTTCAATATTTGGAGTCAAAATGTCTGTGAAATCAAAATGCCCTTACTTTCTAGTGATAAAATTGGCCTGTAGCTGGTAGACTAGTTCAGATCTCATAGATATTACACGTTGTTTTGGAGGCCTAGAGGTGACTATTCTGGAGAATTCTAAAGAACAATGAGAGAAAGAGGAAGTGGAGAGCTGGGGATCATTGGGCTCATGCTTCAGCCTTCCTCATTCACGTCTTGGAATATAAAGATAAAGATGTGTGAGTCATTATTTTTGGAACAGAGATATTCCTTCTCTGTGAACTGGATGAGACACGTTGATTGCTGGGGAGACAATAATGCCCCTTTTACTAACTTTGATTATTAAATAGCAGTAATATCGAATTAGAAAAAAGTCTCAGCAAAAAAAATGGTGTTTGAAATTTCAGGCCATGTAAGTGAGCTGGCAACTCCCCAGGCCAGTGCAGGGTTGGTTGTTGATACCCTTAAGAAGTGCCTTGCTGGGGCTGGCCGGGTGGCGTAGCAGTTAAGTTGGCACGCTCCACTTGGGTGGCCCAGGGTTCGCTGGTTCAGATCCTGGGCGCGGACCTACACACTGGTTGTCAAGCCATGCTGAGGCAGTGTCCCACACAGAGGAACTAGAAGGACTTACAACTAGGTTCTACAACTGTCTGCTGGGGCTTTGGGGAGAAACAAAAAGGAAAAAAAGAGGAAGATTGGCAACAGATGTTAGCCCAGGGCCCATCTTAAAAAAAAGGAAATGCCTTGCTGTTTCATTCTAGTCCCCCTTCCCTGAGTTCCAAAATTAGTAAAATGCAAAAGGCTTAATATTGAGAGAAGGCTTCTCTCGATCTAATTGCTTAAATTAACTTTTAAAGCATAATTAATTTGCTTAAAGACTATATATATGTCAGCTATTAAATGATACTGTTCTGGGCTCTTTTGTAAATTTCACCTCCTTTCTACCATTTTGTCACTAGTTTCGGGTAAATGAGTTTGGAGCCCTGGAAGTTATTACAGATGAGAGCGAAATGGAAAATGTTAAAAAAGCAACAGCTACCACAACCTGGATGGTACCAACCGCTCAAGAAGGTAAGAACGGGTCATCAGCGTTGTCATTTCTTTCTTTTGAGAGTTTTAAAATGAGAATATCTAAGGGTTTATAATAGGCTGGAACTTGGAAAAGCCTGGGTGATCTTCATGTCACATGTTCTTAGGTAAATTTCTTTAACGAAACTGAGATGGAACCAGCTTTTAATATTTTAAAGTAACTATAGACTGTCTTCTTTCCTAATGCCAGATCTGTGCTAGAACAAGGTTAATTGGAAATTGTCAAGTAAATCCATGTTGTAATAGCCTACCCAGGTGATTTAGCAAAAGCCTGCCACTTTTTTCTCATCTACTCCGATGGTTGTAACTAACACCTATATGCTGATGACTCCTGAATCTATATCTCCAGCCCCGACCTGTCCCCTGAGCTCCAGGCCCGTATTTCCACCTGCCTACTGGACATCTCCACCTGGATGTCCCACAGGTACCTCAAACTCCACATGTCTGAAATGCGATTCATTTTCTATTTCTCTCTCCCCTCCCCCCAAACTTGCTGTTTCTTCTGTACCCCATATTTCAGTTGGTGGTGGTAGCACCATCCCTACAGGGGACAAGCAAGAAATCTAGGAGTCATCCTGAATTTGTCCTCCCCCCAGCCCCATAGCCTGTTAACTCAATCCTCTTGTTTTTTATTTCCTAAATATGTCTCAGATCTGGCTTTTTCTACTAATGATCACTGCCACTGCCTTAATTTAGGCCCTTACCAACTCTCACCTGAACTATTGCAGACATCTCCTAAAGAATCACTCTGCTCCTGATTTCACCCAATTTATCCTGCTCCCTGAAGTCAGAGGAACTTGTGCAGATGCCTTTCTGACGCTTCACCAATTTCTCATTGTCTCTTGAGCAAAACATGCAAAGATCTGTGCAGCACGCACCCACTGGCCCGCTTGGTCTCTTCAGCTCTCTTCCCTTCTTTGTCCTGTATTCTGACGGTGCCTGCAGCACTGAGTTCCGCGTAGTCCTCCCAACACCTCCTGTGGTTTCGTGCTTCTTTGCCTTTGCTGCGCTGTTTCTTCTGGCCAGGATGCCGCTTCTCTTTTCGTCCAGTGGATAAATTCCTCTTTGGCCTTCAAAACCCTGTTGAGGCTTTCTATCAGGAAGTCCTTCCTTGACCTCACCCCAGGCCGAATGAATCACTTCTTCCTCTCTCCTACTTCTGGGACTTGTTCATGCTTCAATTATTGCATGTATCACATTTTATTATAAATATTGGTTTTCTTGCCTGTCTTCTCTTCCAGACTGTGAGCTCTCTTGGGCAAGGTCTGTACTGTCATGATCAGTGTCTAGTGTAAATTGGTGCCTAATAAATGTTTGCTGAATGAATGATGAGCCTAACAATTCAGGCGAAAGGAAATGTGAGTTCCTAAATGATTTGGATAATTATGGTTCAAGAGCTCTGCCACATTAAAGGTAAAATAGAGAGACATTGATTTAGCAAAACAGAATTACTCATCAACAGGTTATAAACATGAAATAACGTAGATAACCTTTTAAAATTTTGTCAAAGATACATCTGTAAAATAGGATTCTGGAGATTGATGGTTTCATCTTCTGCATTTAGTGACTAATGAAATTTTCTTCATTTTACTTTGAATTCTGTAGAAAAAGCCTTGGACAAGCTTTTGTTTATCTTTTCTGCAGAATTTTTTTTGTTGTGTAAATTTATTTGAGTGATTCCTGCCAAGCCCATCGTCTTCTCCCTCTAAAATGCTCTAGTTTGATCATTCGTTCATTCAACAAACATTATTCTTTAATGGTGTTGCTAACAAAATTATTAGAAGAAAAAGTTTAAATGTATTTTGGAATATTTTTGGTCGTGGTTTTAATATTTTTATTCTTCTTTTCATCTTGTAGTCTTTTCAGAGAAGACTGGGATGCCTTTCAGGTTGAAGGATCCAGTGAAAGTAGACGGGCTTCAATTCTGTGAGAACTGTTGTCAGTATGGCAACGTAGATGAGTGTCTTTCTGGAGGAAACTATTGCAGCCAGAATTGCGCTCGGCATATCAAAGACAAGTAGGTTTTTGCCCTGTTCCATTTATAAAGTGGTTTTATAGTCCAAGGTCCTGGTGCATGGGAATACAGAGGCTCTGTGACGTCTCTCACCCATTCATGCCCTTTTTTTCGGAGGCTTTTTCTTTAGAGTCACATGGACCCTGATGCCATTGCTGGACCTGGTGACTTCGGTCATGTCTGATCTGAGTTGTATGGCCTAAGTCCTACCTGCAGTACAACTTCTGCCTCTTCCTTTAGCCTTTTGCTTACATTTGATTGCTCTCCAGCTAAGAGTATTTAAATTTCTCTGGGCTACATACACATTTTGATAATACTGATGTTTATAGAACCACAGGTTTGTTTATATTTCGGGGGTTGTTAGGTAAATCAGCTAAAACTCCACAAATGAGATAGAGCTTCTGCTCATGGTGACTCAGCCGAGGGAAGATGGCCGTAGTGAGTAGTATGATGGGTTATGTTACTCCTGATCGCAGGCTGGACTGAGGAGTACGAGACAGGGACATCAGCTGTGAATGACAGTGGTGTACGACTGCCATTTGGGGACCGTCTGACAAAGTTCAGCTTATCCCCGAGAAGGTGTATTTCTTGCATATATTTGTATACTACAAATAAATGACTTGACATTTATATTTTAGTGGAATTTCCTATGTGTTTTAATCATTACAGGCTTGGGAATTATCTGTTTTTGTTGGCCAACTGGTATTTTACAAAGTTACACTTGGCCTATTTCATTTGGACTTGTCGTTCTTAATAATTGCTAGATCTTTGATTTACAATTGCCCCGAAGACTGAAATATCTCTAAATATTTGGTTCTTTTATTAGAATGGATGGCAGATGTGAAATAATTTTAAACTTGTTAGAACCTGTTTCACATATAGTGCTGGTCCCCTTTTGAAATTAATGTATAAGCTAACTTCCACTTTCTACCTTAACAGTGTCATCCATGACGATGGTTTGAATGTTCCTTATTTATGATATTTTAATGCCTCTGCATTTTTCCTGATGGCTAAATATTTTTCCTTTGGAGGGTGACTTTTTTAAAAAAAACTCTGTATTGATAATCAACATGTAGATGTTTGATAGGTATTGTTTCCTGTCACTATTTTGGGTTTATAAACACAACAGAGATCAGAAGGAGGAAAGAGACATGGGAGAAGACAATGAGGAAGAAGATCCTAAGTGTAGTAGGAAGAAAAAACCAAAATTATCTCTGAAAGCCGACTCCAAGGAGGATGGAGAAGAGCGGGATGATGAATTGGTGAGTATCTCTTTCACGACTACCAGGGAGCACGGGGTGCTTCCTAAGTGTAGCATCGCGGTCAAAGGTGCTGGCTCTGCACCCTCTTACGTGACTTCCAGTGCTGATTCCGTGACTCTCTGCATTACCATCAGCAAGTTAAATGCCTCCCGCTCTGTGTGTCACTGTCGTCATGGCACAATGGGAATACTAAATAATAGTACCCCTTCCTCAGGGTGAAGAAGTAGGATGTCCTGGAATTTATTGCTGGAGTGAGAGAGAGAGGCAGCAGCAAAACCTTTAGTTTCCCAAATGAATCTTAAATTCCTCTCGATAGCAAATTGCCGATCCCATTTTGGTAAATTGCAAACGTATCTCATAAAACTATGTTGAGTAGGTAGAAAATGGCAGATCAATGTCAGGTATATTTTGGGAAAACTAATTCAAAATGTGCTAATCAAAACATACATATCTATCCCTAAAGTATATATTAATGGCTCTATATGAAAAAAGAACTTTGAGGTCTTGAAGCATTTCCCTTGAGATCCATATTGAGCAACAGTTATTTGCTAGTCACTGTTCTAGGAGCTGGGAATACGGGTAGGAATAAGATAGCAGGAAGACTGGGTCTCTCCTCTCAGGGACATTATACTCTTGTTAAGGGGACATACAGTAAACAAAATGAACAGGAGAAATGTCAGCCTGTGCTAAGTGCTATGCTGGGAATTACAATAGGGCACGAGGATTGGCTGAATGCTTTAAGTGGGGCTGTCAACAAGGCCTCCCAGTGAAGGTTGGCTGTGAACAATGTGATCTGAGTAATAAGAAGGAGCCGACTTTGTAAAGTTAGGAGTGAGGAGGCCCCTGGGCAACAGAACAGCTAGGGAAAAGTCCCTAACGTAAGAACACATGTATGTAGCATGTTTTATTTGAGGATATTAGAAAAAAAAACAGTATGGTTGAGCCTTGGGGGTTAGGGGAGAGTGGAATGAGATGAAGCTGAAGAGGTCCCAGCTATGTGGGGCTCTATGGTAGGTAAACCAGAGTAATAAGTTTGCATTTTATCCTGAGTATGATGGGAAGCCACTGGAAAGCTGAAGGCAAGGGAAAACTTTGATAGGATTTATGTTTTAGATTGATCACTCTAGCTTTGACTTGTCAGAGCAAGAGTGGCAGCAGGGAAACCAGTTACAAGTTTATTGGAGTGGACTAGCTAAGAGTGCCATGTAAGATAGAAGTCAGTGGGTTTGGGACAGATGTTAGAGGTAGGGTTGTCAGGATGTGTGAGGGAAAGAGGAATCAGGGATAACTCTTATGTTTTTGGCTTTAACAATTGACTGAATAATGATGCTATTTATTGAGAATGGAAAGGCAAGACTAGAGTATGGAATCTAGAGTTCTTTGGCCATTGTGAGTTTGAGATGTTTGTTAGACATCCTCGTGAAGATCCTAAGTAGGCAGTTGGGTTCTATGAGTGTGAAGTTAGGGAAGAGGTCAGGGCTGGAGATATGAAGTGGGGATATTGGGCATACAGGTGATCTTTAAAACCTAGGGAGAGGGATTCGATAGAGCAGAGAAGGGGACTGGATTGGAAGAGGCATCAGCAAAGGGACTGAGAAGGAGGGGCCTGTGAGGTATGAGGAAAACCAGCACAGGGTGGTCAAGGAGCTAAGAGGGGAAAGCGTTTCAAGGAGACTGGAGCGATATCTGTGCTATTCCAGAATGGAATTCTTGGAAATGTTCTTATTTTGTAATGATCTCAGGCCAAAAGCAACACAGTTCTCAAATGACCTATATTTTTACTTTCCTTGAAACTTATGAAGTGAAATTGAAGAAAAGTACAAAAAAAAATACTTTCTGACAGCTCTCTAACTTTTCGTTAGTGCCAATTTCATGAACTTCTAAAAATCATAATTTTCCTTTCTTATTGTAGGAGAACAAACAAGATGGAAGAATCCTGAGGGGCTCACAGAGGGCCCGAAGGAAAAGACGGGCTGATTCGGCTGTGTTGAAGCAGGGTGAGTTGTTAAAAGAAAGGGTTTTCTTGTAACTTCATGAAAATGAAAATATTTCACCCAGGTAGATGTTTTAGTCTTAATTTTAATGAACACTATGGTACGTAAAGTATTGCGGTGGGTTTTTCTTTGATTAAATTTTGTCAGTAAAAATTAGGGTTTTGAAGAAGTAGAGAGGGAAAAAAATGGAAATTAGTAACTTTCTAAGGCAAACATGAGAACATTTTTCTTTTTCCATTGAGCAGGTATCCTCTACTTCTGCACTTTTACTGAAATCTCTCTTCTTGTTCATTTCCTAAGAATTTTGAGTTTTTAGTGTTTCCTCTCAAACCACAACCTCCTGATGTGGTACCTTTTTTCTTTCATTGTTCCTCAGGCAACACTTTATTCTCATGAAGAATCCAGTTCTCAGGCCCTTCGCTTTAATACTTGACTGGGTTTACTAGCCACCATATTCTGCATGGACCTTAGGTCATGTCCATAGAGGCCTCAGTGTCCTCCACTCAGCTTTGTCCAGTTGACCTCTCACATCTGCCTGGCCATTCCCTCATGTAGGTCATCCACTTTGCGCAGCCCCTCCTCTGACCTGCCCAGGCATGTTGTCCCTACACATCAGGACCATGAACCCAATGCTCCTCTTCAGTGATTAGATGCATTCTTCACTTGTTCATCTCTTGATTCCTCAAAAAGAGTTAGAGGGCTGGCCCCACGGCTGAGTGATTGAGTTCGCGCGTTCTGCTTCGGTGGCCCAGGGTTTCGCTGGCTCAGATCCCCAGGGGCAGACATGGCACTGCTCATCAGGCCACGCTGAGGGGGTGTCCCACATAGCACAACCAGAAGGACCTACAAGTAGAATATACAACTATGTACTGGGGGGCTTTGGGGAGAAGAAGAAGAAGAAAAAGAAAAAGATTGGCAACAGATGTTAGTGCAGTTGCCAAACTTAAAAAAACAGAATGAGAAATATTTCTACCCTCCTCAAGCACCCCGCCTAACATTTACCTTCTTGAGGAAGGTTTACCGTCTCAGTACCTTTCTGTGTTTCATCACTGAGATCACTCTGCTCTCTGCCTCAAAATGTCTTTAAGCTTTCTCGTCCTCCCTCTTAATTTCTGCTCTCTGGGCCCTGGCTCTTCTGGGACGTGATTCCTTCAGTCACTGATTTTTCCCCCTTAGGTATTCAGAGTTTTTTTTCTCCTCATCAGTTCCATCTTAGCCTGTTCAAATCTCATCCCCAAAATGCCTTTCCCCCAATTTTGTTACCCATCAAGCTATTACACTCTTCCTTTCATTTCCATTATTTGAATTGATCTCAAGTAAAATCAATATTAGCTGACTCCATATCTTTATCCTTCTACTGTGCAAAGTCTGGCCCTCGCTGGATTGAGCCCCCCCACCCTCTAAGATTAGCAGCCCTTCCTTCATCACTCGATGTGCTGGACTTGTCTCGGTCTTCAATTTCTTGATCTCCTAGGGAAAATTTTTTGAGCATCCTGCTTCTAGAAGCACTCAATTTCTGTAGCTTCCATGACGCTTTTCTATCTTGGTTTCCTCCTGTATCTTCTCCAATTTCTCTAAGTTCTTCTGTTTCTTTCTTCAACCCTCATAACTGTGGATGTGCACCACGGTTCACTTCTTAGTTCTTGTTTCTTTGGTAGAGGAGCCAGGAAGAGACTGAGAAATACCAGCTGTGGCGGTAAGAGAAGAGTCAGGCCTCATGATAGTTGGGGAAGTGAGAGTTTGCAATATATTTCTGTGATTTCCTAGATTTGGAAATTCTACCATTTTAGTCGCACTTGCCTTTCAGGTTTGCCTCCTAAAGGAAAGAAAACTTGGTGCTGGGCATCCTACCTGGAAGAGGAAAAAGCTGTGGCAGTGCCAGCGAAACTGTTCAAGGAGGTACGGGCCTTCTGGAGAGCATTGTCTGTAGGGGCAAAGGAGCAGGAATACTGATCTGGAATTAGTATTGGCGTTTCCATCCTCTGTTTAGGAATTGTGACTTGGGATAATTTCTCAAACATATTGTTGTTCACTTGTCTACTTATGTGGAGGGGTAGCTAGCATTAATGTATGCACACCTTCCCCCAGGGCCACGTGCATGGGTATACACTGACACGCACACATGCTCTCTTCTGTCAACATTTACTGGGCTTTCACTCCCTAATTTTAAGAGGGAAACTTGTACTGCTACTGACAAACTAGTAGATAAATGAAAACCGGCATGAAATTTTCTGTCAACCTCTTGGCTTTGGGAGAATAAAAATGAGTTATTGAGGTTTATGTAATGTCACAACAAAACATCTAAAAATGGATTACTGCATCATCTTAACTATAGTGAAATGTTTTATCACAAGTGATTTAAAATCAGTTAAAAGCACAGACACCAAGTGGAGTTCTGAGTAGGAGCCGCTGCTCCTGTGTTAAAACAGGGGTCAGTAAACTTTTTTGGTAACAAGCCGGTTAGTAAGTATTTCAGGCTTCGTGGGGCATCTGGTCTTGGTTGCAACAGCTAAACTGTGGCTGTAGTGAAAGCGGCCAGAGACTGTATATAAATGAGCGGACATGGTTGTATTCCTGTAAAGCTTGAGTTACAAAAACAGCAGGTGGGCTTGCTTGGACCCACGGACCGTGGTTTGCTGACCCCTGGTTGAAATTATTTTATTTTATCTGCCATTGATCTTGTTGTGTATGTATGAATGTGAGGAGTTTTAAAAAAGTGATGAATAGTAAATGTTAGGATGATTAAATCTACATTAGGAACATGTAACTTATAGTAATCACATATGAACTTGTTCTATATCATTATTTTCTGTTACTTTAGTCCTTTGCAGAATAGACTTATTTACATTTTTTTGAAAATTTCAATACAGCTAATTACTTAAGTCAGTAATCCATTCATGTATTAAAAATATAGAAGTACTAGAAGATTTGAGTTTGTCCCTCGGAGCACTGACCTCTAGGTCCCTGTCTGCCCCTCCTGCAGGGGTTCCTGTTAACAGTTCTTATGTTCCCTTCCTAGAAAATTATCTGTACAGATAAGTGATGTTTATACACAAATCCTCTCCTCCCCATCTTAAACCAAATGATGACATACATGTCACACGTACTGTTTTGGACTTTGCCTTTTTAACTTGGTTTGGAAATTATTCCATCTCGGTTCATGATTCCCTTCATCATTCTTTTATATTAATGTATGATACTGCATCTCATGTCTCTTCCATAATAATTTAAGCTGCTCCCTTTGGGTTGATATATATATATGTCAACACATGACACATATATGACATACTGACATTTATATGACACCCACATGCATATGACATACATATGTCAGTCACTAGGGAGCAGCTTAAATTATTATGGAGCAGACATGAGATGGGATACTGTATGTATACATGGAATATATATATATGAATCTTGTGACATATAAATGTTTTAGTGACTAACCTTTCAGACCTATCATTTTGCATGTGTGGGTATCTCTGATGGATAATTTCCTAGAATTAGAATTGCTGAGTCAAAGAGAATATTCTTTTTTTATAGCTATCATGAGATTGCTAAGGGTTGTACCAGTTTGCATCCCTCCTAGGGACGTCTCTGTGTGTCTGTCTCTAGAGCCTAGCCAACACGGTGTCATCCAACTTTTTGATCTTTACCAACCTGATAGGTGAAAGATCTCTTAGTGCAGTTTTACTTTGTGTGACTCTTACGGGTGAGGTTGAGCATCTTTTCACATATGTAAGATATTTAAATTTCCTTTTCTGTCACGTGTTTATAGTCTTTGTCCATTTTCCATTGGATTATTTGGTGAATTTTTCCTTTTGGACTTTTAAGAGTTATTTATGTATTCAGTTAAATAGTCTTTGTTTAAGAATGGTAATTATTCATATTTTTAACTAGGCCTTCAGAATAAAATACTAAAACTGTGGTGATTTTTCATTTCAGTATCAATCCTTCCCATATAACAAAAATGGGTTTAAAGTTGGCATGAAATTAGAAGGCGTGGACCCCGAGCATCAGTCCGTGTATTGCGTCCTCACTGTGGCTGAGGTAAGCTTTGCTTTGTCTTTATCTCTAAAATAAAACAGTGATTATTGGGTTTTAATAATGAGAAAAGGTGCCTTTTGTTGAGTGCTTCCTTCATGCCAAGCATGGTGCCGAGTGTTTTGTGTACATTTACTCATTTAATCTTTACAAGAACCCTGTACAGTTCATGTGTTTTCATCTCTGTTCTGTAGATGACAGAACTGAAGCTCAGAGAGTTTAAGTGACGTATACAGGCCACACAGCTTCAAAGTGGTAGAACCAAGATTTGACCCAGGTCCATCTGACTCCGTAGCTTCTGCCATACTGTGTTCCTTAACACAAGGAGCACACCAACAGATATTTATATTTTTTTAGTATTTCTAGGTGTCTGTGTGAAATTTTTCAGGAAAAATTGTACAAGTCAATTGTATATATCTTAGTCCAATGTATTAGTGAGGACACTTCTTATAATTTATTTTTTTCCTCCTGTGCTAGCCTCTGCCTTGCTCCATCCCTTGAGCCAGGGGTATATATCTTTTAAAAATTCCCTCCAAAAGAATAGGATGCTCTTGAGTATTAGTTTTAGTTATCATAGTATTCTTTTAGTGACTTAGTGAATTTGTAAGGAGCTTGGCTCCTACAGAACATAGTGACGTCTGATAGCTGGATGATGACAGTCACAGTAAATAATAATGTACAGGTACGTAGAGGGTACTGTGGGACAGATGCTGAGCAAAAGGCTTTCCATATACTAGCTTGTGTTAGTTCTCAAAACAGTTGAGTTTTATGAAAGCATTGTGAGGAAGCAGATTCAGTAAGGGGACACTGCCTTCAAGAAGTTTAGCTATAGAGGAGAAAGTGACCTTTCTAAGGTGTGTGTGTGTTTCAACTCTTGGTTTTGAAGGAGATTTATTTCAGCTTGTGTAGTTTCTTATTATAGCGGTAATGTTTGATCATCATGAAAACTTCAACTAGTGTAAGAGCATACGTTATGACAAATAAAAGTCCTGGATCCCACCTCATCTTTTCCTCATTCCATATCCCAGAGATAAAGACCCTAATGAGTTCACTGTGTTCCCTCCAGATGTTTTCTCTGCCTGTAAAATTATGTACACGTATATTTGTCTCTTTTTTACATATAAATGTTGCATAATATTTTGCAACTTGCTTTTCTGACAATGCATCTTTTATATCATATATACATAATATTTTTAACCATTGGATAGTATTCCATTTCACTGAATTGCCATAGTTTATTTAATTGCTCTCGTATTGATTCATTAACATTGAATTCACAGCCAACAGCCCTGTAACTCCTGCCCAGTGAAGCTTACCTAACGTGCACATGTCCGTAAGCACACCACAGCCTTCTTGCCCTTAGGAACACTAGCCAGCTCTTCAGCACTATGCTTGGGGCCATTTTAAACAGCAAAATCACCAACAGAAAGGACAAATGGGAAAAATGTGGCACTAAATAGACTGTGCAAAGGACACTTGGCTCACAGTGTGAGATACGAAACAAGAAGGCAGTAGCCTTTCTCAGCCTCAGCTGGGAACTTTCACGACGAGCAGCTCAGATCTTTCACCACTCTGTGCGTGCACATGTCCCCAAACACAAGTAGTATTTTGAGTTACAAATTCAATCAAGTGGGTGAGTTTACAAATACAGAACCCATGAATAAGGAAGATTGGCTTATGTCAGTTTTCCCCCTCAGCACCAGCCCCTAGACCAGGTCTGGGTGCAGGCCAGGGGGATACTTGGGATAATGGAATTTTGTCAGGCAAATGTTTTGGGAAGGACATCAGGGCAACGATTTAAAAATATTGGCAAGAAAATGTTTTAGGTGATTACTAAGGAAGAAAGGCTCGGGGTGAGGAGGAGGCTAAGGAGAAAGTAGAAGGATCAGTGTGAGAGGCTAGAGTTCTCGCTGAGACGGAGGAAGAAGTGTGTGGGGAGTCACGGGGCCAGCAGACTGAATAGGAGGCCATCTTCATGGGGTTGGATGCTTTAATTTAACAGTTGAGAGGCAGGGAACTTTCTGATGAGACAGGCTCCGTGGGAGTGAGCGTTTGAAGTGGAGAGGAAACGCAGGGAGTAGGGGCACCAGGGACTGGATGAGTCATCCATGTGCATGAGGGAACCACTCAGGACGGAGAGGAAGGGAGGAAGCCAGGGCTTCGTGTCTGATGAGTGAGAAGGGATGTTTGGGAGGTTAGCATTCCGGATGATGAATGATAAGGGCGGGGGCGTGCAGCCACATGGCACGGGCCTTAGAGGAGCAGAGTGGAGAACAGGCCTAGAAGTGTGGTGTAGCCTAGGTAGTCAGCCCTCCTCAGGCCTCAGAGGGATGGCCAGTGGGAGAAGTGGGAGCAGACTCTGCTTGATGGAAGGGTTCCGAGGGACAAGCTAGATATGCCTTTTAACAAGGAGGTTGAGGACGTAGGAGACCGTTTCCCAAAGCATAGGGTTCCGGAGGGCATAAGGCATAGTAGAGAGATTGCGGGGGGAGCAGTCTCTCTCTCAGAGGGAGGTTGGCTCAAGGGGGCAGAAGCTCAGAGCCATATGACCCTGAGGGACTGGAGGGAGAAATTACTAACGGGGCTTGTTTCTTAGACATTCACCAGAGACAGCTGAGTGTAGGGAGGGTGGGTTTGCCTCCCTCCAAGGCTTATAAGACAAGCAGCCCCTGAGCTTCTTGGCGTGGGGTGATGTCATGGGACAGCCACCTGCCCTTCTTGAGAGCTTGTGCATCCAGGGGTCTCGGTCTCGGCTCTGCCGAGGGGCCCCAGTCTCTCTGGGGGTGTCAGCTTAGTGGTAAATTTTATATGTGTAACATATCAATACATTCTAATTAAAAAATACTAGTATCGAAGATAAAATGTTAAAAGTCCATCCTTTTCCTTTTGCCTCTCCCTTATCACTCCCACTTCTGAGAAGAAATCACTGTTAATATTTTGGCATATATCCTTCCAGACTTTTTTACTGTGATTTTCATATATGTGTGTGTGTGTAGGTAGGTATATAAATGTGTGTATAAATACGTATACTTATGTGTATGTATGTTCACACGTAATGTGTATACGTGCACACAGAAACAGATACACATAAACACACACACGGACTCGCACGTCTGTAATTTTTCTCATAAACTGAGTCATCTTAGTTTGTTCTGCCACTTGAATTTTAACAATATGTTTTACAGAACTTTCCATGGCAGTAACTGTACAGCTACCTAATTATTTGGGGGTTGTTAATTGCCCTGGCTCTGTGCTCTAGCCTCAAGCTTCTTGTTCAGGCTTCTGTGGGGCAGGTGCTCCTGGAGTGGTTAGAGGTCTGGTGTGGGATGTGGTTCCACTTGAACACATCTGCTGTGCTAGTGGGAAGAGAATTGAGAGGCTGAGCTTGTCTCTAAGAGCCCAACACAGAGCGTGACCCAGCTGAGGCCCCATAAACCCGTGTGACCTTTGTACTCGGAACTTCCCCAAGTGGGGCCCTTTAGGCAGATGTTCGTCCTCAGCGTCCAGCGAGTGTTACATAAAGTGTGTTCTCACTGGCATTCCAGGGAGCCTGTCTCATCTAAGTATGAATTAGAGGAGGCTTTTTTTTCCTTTCTCCCAGTCTGGCTACTGCTGGGAAGGGGAGTCTATTGACTTCTCTCCTTGTCTGTACCAGCCTTGATCTGGCCGGATATCACCCTGTGCAGAGCTTTATAAAGGATAGAGAGGCGGCATCTGACAGCGCTCAGCAGGGCTTCCACCCTGGGCATCCTCCCACTCTGCAGGAGCTGTTGCCCTGTGCCGGGCTGCCTGCTTCCCTGCCGGCTCTCCTTGATGACATGTGCTGGTACAACATAGGGAATGGAGAGAGGACATGTGCATGTGGGAGATTCTTCACCCCGTATCCATGTGCTCCTAGTGTAACTGGGGATCATGCCAGAACACTGAAGTTCAGCTCTTCCCACTATCATAGCCTTTGCGTTTAGGTTTTGTCGTTTGTTTGCTGTTTTTGTTGCTTTTCACGTGGGTGCTTTGATTAACATAGGCTATATAATACTTGATGTCCACGTTAATTTATTTTTGTACACGTACACAAATATTTTGGATGTTTTTGTTTTTTCATCACTCAGCCTGCTTTCCGTGTTTCAGGTTTGTGGATACCGGATAAAACTGCACTTTGATGGGTATTCTGATTGCTATGACTTCTGGGTAAATGCAGATGCTCTGGATATTCACCCCGTTGGGTGGTGTGAGAAGACTGGCCATAAACTCCATCCTCCGAAAGGTATTGTCACTTTTTTATCTCACATTTTAAATTCTGCAAAAATGTATTTTCTTACATGTTTATTTGGAATTTTTAAGAATTCAGACTCTATGATTATTCAGAGAAGCCCAAATTCAAGCTTATTGTCCACGATGAAAAATGCTTGTTAAAATGAAAGAAATTTAAAAAGTAGAATCCTGTTTAAGAGAGTAAACTCTGTCCATATACTTATTTGCGTATAAAATACCAATTGCATGATACTGAATTTTGGCTACAAACAAATTTTAGCTACAGACTTCTATTTTATATGTATCTATACACGCATTCGTATATCCTTGGAAAAACTGATTTGAAAAATTAGTTTGAACCTGTTTACACAGCTAAGTTTATTTACTGATATTTTAGTATATAGAAAATCTTGAAAAATTATACATTGAACTTGTAGATTGTAATGTTTAGGAGATTGGAAAGGAGACTATAACACTAAAAAATTGGTTTAGGTGGGAGTTGAATTAATAGCAGTTACTTTTTTATCCTTCAGTTCTTTATAAAACAATCTGCCAATGATTTTGCCATGTTTCATGTTTATATAAAGATCCAGAAATATTTGATACCATCTTTTTTGGTCCATCCCTAGTGTATTTAATAATATCTTTTTTCCTTCCTTTTCAGCTATTTCATTCAGTATTGTTTACTTGATGCCAAAGATCCAGGTTACTAGTTGATGTTACTGGTTCGATGTTTAGTCTCAGGGCTGTTGTTTTTTAATGGACTAGCCATCGTTTGGCTTTAAGTGAAAAATTAACGGCAGAATGGTATTTTCAGATGGCTGAAGGATTAAACCAAAATACATAGAAAAAATGAGGGTGAAAAAGAAAAGCTGTATCTAAATTTATGTAAATTTACCTCCTATTTATGGTGAATTATTAGCTGTTTTTTTCATGCTGCCGTCTGGACTTTAATGGAAGTAGAAGAGAGTGCATGAGCAGATAAAGTAAAATGCTCAGTTTCCTTTTTTAAGGAGATGTTGGCTTTAACAACACTAAACAGTAAATTGTGAAAATTAAGGCAGGGACATTTCCATGATTGTAATTTGCCAACATGCTCACTTCATAAATCATAAACTGTCATTCTTGTGGTGATGGGCCAAGAAGATTTTATCTGTTTTATTACTGTTTTTTCTAGCTTCCCACTTGTTCCTACAAGTTAGTCTCCCAAGATAGAATAGGTGAAGGGAAAAATAAAGAATTTGACTACTCCAGCTCACTAGTCTGCTGAGGAATTCTGCCTAAATAGTGATAGAAATGGCCTGGTAATAAAAAAATATACGTGTTCTTTATACCCATTACCATTCATTCAGAATTGAAAAGTATGCAATTTGTTGGAAATAAACACAGCCTGTGTATAAAAATCCATAGTTATAAATTATGAATTAAATTTTACCTATTTAAAAAATCGCTTGATTGCTTGACTTTGCATGTTGAAGTTATAGATGAAAGTGGGAATGGAAAACGTGGTGTGAAATATTTTGATATTTTACGAGTCTGTTTATGTGTGCTCACCCTAGGTTATAAAGAAGAAGAATTTAATTGGCAGACCTATCTTAAGACATGCAAAGCTCAAGCTGCTCCCAAGTCATTATTTGAAAATCAGAATATAGTAAGTACATCCAAAATACTTTCCCTTCCAAAGGAAAAGTGATAATAAGAAACTATAATAAATTTTATTGCTTTGGTAAATAGAGTACTCTTATCTTAATTAAACTTTAAAATTAGCTTAAAATCTTCATGAATAAATATCTGTTTTATAGCCATATCATGGTTGTCTTTTTTTATTGACTGGTAGAAGGCAACATAGTACAAAACCCAGCTGTAATTTACAATTAAGCTGCATAAAACATTAAATTGACTGGGATATTTTACTGTTATTGTCCTTTATTTAGGAGTGCTTTTTAAATAGGATCACATAGTGAGATGAACGTGGCATTCTTTAGATTCGCAGGCTGGAGACTAGGACTTCTTTTACTCTAGCTTCTAGCTTTGTATTGCAGTAAAACAGAAGCAAAGTCTGGATGTGTCTGGATTCTCTGCTTCTTAACCTGTATTCCCACTTTCCATTACATGTTCCTCTGTTGGCATCTCTGAGGAGGCTCAATACATTTCTGTCTTCTTCCTTGCCCAAGTTCTGATCTAATTGGAAAGAACAGAGAGCAAGCAGGTGGAAAACCAAAATATCATCTTTATAACTGATAAGGGCTCTGTTGGAGGGCATGCATAGCATCTGCTGACAAATGAGCTGCTTGATTCTGAGCCCTAGAATCAAAGAGATTTACTGCCCCTCCCTGCCAGACCACCCAAGCCCAGGAGCACCGGAATGGGGCAGAGGAACAACGTGGAAGCCACGTGCTTTGCAGGCCAGCTTACCCTCAAGCGTATGATCAGTTCCTCCTTCCAGATTCACCAGTCAGATAACAGTGAGTGAGTGTGGAGAGAGGCAGGAATATTTTACCAATGGGGTTCCCCCTATATGGAAATAAATATCAGGAGTGGGGAGAAACCTTTTCACCTACTCCAGATACCCTCCATTTGGAAATAAAAGTGTATTAATCAGTTGTTTTGGGGCATCTGTCTAATGGCTGAAACATTCTCTGATCAAATTGAACATAAACCAGCTTGAATTAGAGAACTGAAGAGGGTGTGTGTGTGTGTGTGTGTGTGTGTCTTTAGGTAATTAGTAGAGCTAATGAGCCAGGTTATTATTTTAAAATATTTCAATTGAGGGGATAGCTTAATTGCTGAAATGTGAATTCTGCGCTGTCATAGCTGTTCTCTGTCAAGACCAAGGAGTTAGGCTGAGTTAGGGAGTTAGACTAAGCAGGGGAGTTAAATGGAAACTCAGCAGCTGTTGGCGCGCTTCCTCGTCCCTGCCTGGTCCTCTGACGATGACTTCAGTCAGGGATTTGCTGAACTGCCTTGAACCGTTGTCTTAAATTCTGTGCATTGCTAACACACAACTTAATTTCGGGCTAAGTGTTCGGTATCTAAGAGGCAATTAAGTTTTCTATTTTGAGATTCCTCTATGTCAAAACACTCAAGTATTTATGGCCAGAACTCTGATAAATAATTTCAGGACTTAAATGTATAGTAAAGATTGCTCTGTAGAATCAGAGCCTGCTCCTTCTATTCAGACGGGACTGAATTCTGACATCTTCAGATATACGGCTGTCTATATTTTTGTAACAATGGCTGTATAATTACAGTAAAAAGATAACGTCTATTTTGCTAAAGTAATTAGAATAGTATCTGTTCAGTCTGGACAGAAAGACTTTTTTAGAAGGGCAGATGACTTGTAGTGTGTTGTGATGGCACAGCTGAGGTCCAAGGACGCTTCTCTGAGATAGAGATATTTTTCCTTGCAAAAGATTGTAAGGACTGTGTACATTTAACGGAACCTCAAGCACTAAATCATAATTGGACTTTTATTGTGTTAGTTCCGTGTCCCAGACGGCTGCTAATCTGTGGATTTCCTCATATTACAAGCGGTTTTGAATGGCTGTATGTATTAACAGTCAGTTCTTTTGGTGCTGTTGTACATAATATCTGTAGTGTTGAGTAAGAGTTGTAATAATTTGCAGCCTTTCATATATGAAGATGACCTACTTTCTGTACAGCCCTCTTTTGAGAGATCTTTTCAGAAGTGGGAGTGCGTTTGTACTGACTCACACATATTTTAACTTGATTAAGTGCACATTATGCGTGAAATAATTTTCATTGGTAAGTCGGTAATCAAGGAGAAGAAAAACAAGAAGTGAACTATGCAGTGAATAAAACTTTCCTAACTAGCATAGTTGTCTGACTAAGGTACCAAAGTGCGTATTCCAATAAATTATTGTAAACTCTGCGAGGTCGTGGGTGTGTTGGTTTTGAGGCCTGGATTGTTAGTTGAATACAGCAGCAGGGCATGTTTATTTATTGCTCCTTGTTAGAAGAAGACCTGGTGGTGAAATTGGTACACGGTTCTTAAATTATGTGAACACCACTGATGGACGCCAGGCCATCGAGCAGGAGGAGCAGAGAGGGTGCAGGTCTTGCTGTTAAGTGTGCGCTTATCTCTAATTAAATCTGTATGTTTTGTAGACAGTGATCCCATCAGGCTTTCGAGTTGGAATGAAGCTTGAAGCCGTAGACAAAAAGAATCCTGGGTTCATCTGTGTTGCTACGGTAACAGATATGGTGGACAATCGTTTCCTCGTGCACTTCGACAACTGGGATGAGAGCTATGACTATTGGTGAGACATCTCCCACGGCGGCTGCTCTTTCTAATTTAGTGTTTATTCAAGGACATAGTTTAAAAATAATAAGAATGCAAAATTTATAATGAAAGATAGCAGTGCTCTGCCCCACTCTTTCCCATTTCAGATTTTTACCTATAGCATATATTTCTAAATAATATCCTTTAATTTTACTTGGTGATTTGTATTTAGTTGACTTCCTGCTCTGGAAGTACAATTTACACACCCCGTTCCCAGCATATGCTCACACGTCAGTGCACACACAGACCCACTTCCCCCTGATCTTGGCTGTCGTCTATCATTTTTGGAAAAATATTTTAATCTTCCTTTCATATTTTCATGGCCGGTATGAAATGTAACCATTTCATGTCCAGTAGCTAATTTAACCATTTATAACTGCTGAATACTAATATCTTAGTTGAGGAATATTGTTTTTAATCCTTACAGTTTTGGGATATACTGTGTAAAGTAGTAGGAGCAACATATTATAAAATTATATAATTATAAAATAATTATAATAAAGCCATTATATTTTGATTAAAAAATTGAATTAATGGTTTTCCATACCTAATTCATGTTCATTGATTGTTATAATTCAGTTTCCTGGTGAAAGACATTTCCAAAGTATTTAGTTCCTTTTAGAGAATACTTGCAATGAGAACATTTTAGAGAAGTGAGAGATATCTTTATAAAATATGGCTGTTATATTATCAAGTGAATATTAATTTATGTAAATGTTGCTAAATTTTAGTGAAGCTTCTTTTATTGTTTTTTTGGTTTTGTGGTGAGGAAGATTGTTGCTGAGCTAACATCTGTGCCAGTGTTCCTCTATTTTGTATGTGGGACACTGCCACAGCATGGCTTGATGAGTGATGTGTAGGTCTGGACCCAGGATCCAAACCCACGAACCCTGGGCTGCTGAAGCGGAGTGTGCAAACTTACCCACTACGCCACCAGTCTAGCCCCAGAAGCTTGTTTTTTGACATTTCTTTTTAGTATGCTTATGTTTAAGTATTCGTTAGTCATCAGTAATTTCCATTACTCCTCAGATTGTCTTAGAGACTCATCAGTTTTACTTGCTTTGTTTTAAAAAGGAGAGACATTGAAAGCCATTTGCTATTCAGTTTTTTGTTTTGTTTTGCTGAGGAAGATTCACCCTGAGCTAACATCTGTGCCTATCTTCCTCTGCTTTTTAGTATGTAGACTGCCACCACAGCATGCCTGCTAATAGAGCAATGTAGGTCTATGCCTAGGAACCAAACCCAGGCCACCACAGCAGAATGCGCTGAAGTTAACCACTAGGCCACCAGGGCTGGCCTTGTTATTCACATTTTAAAAATGCTTTCTATTATACATTACATATGATTTTTGCAGAATTTTTAAAAAATGTAGACAAGTAGTTCCATGATTACATCACACAGAGTCAAGTACTTTGAACATTTCGGTGTGTTTTTCCCAAGCTTTTTTCTGGAAAGCATGATTTTTTCTTATAAGATGTCTTTTTGTTCAGTTTGCAGTAACTTTTTTTTTAATTCAAATATAGACCATTTCAAGCCTATATGAAAGCAGAGTAATGGAGTGACTCTCCTGCAGTCATCACACAGCACAAGCACTTATCAATTTCTATCCACTCTTGTTTCCTCTGTATTCCTGCTCCTGAAATCCCAACTCCAGGATGGTTTTGAAGAAAATTCCAGATATCATAGCATTTCATCTGTGAATAATTCAGTATGTTTCTTTTAGAGATAAGGATTCTTTTTCGTTTTAAAAATATGTGCTGTTATAAATGCCATAGTGTTAATAACATACTTAAACATTCCCCCGATTGTCTTAGTTTTCTTTTTTTTAGTATGATGGCTTTAGGTCCAAGTTAGGTGCACACTTTGTGAGTGCTTTGATGTTTTTCTTCATCTCTTTTAATTTATAGATGCCTATTCCTCTCTTTTTCTTCCTCTTATAACTTTTATTGAAGAAACCAGATGGTTTGTCCTGTGTAGTCTCCCACAGTCTGGATTTGTTGATTGAATCCTTGTTGTATTGCTTACCATGTTCTTCATATTTCCTGTTAATTGGGAGTTTTTGTTTCATTTAAAATTATCCATACCTATCTTGAGTGAGTGAATGGGTGAGAAAACTGTAAATTTAGAAATATTGTAAATCTGTTCTGGGTCAAACGTGTTTCTCCTCTCTTATATTTGCTGTGCTGTGATGCTGGCAGTACAGTGTGGTGAGTGGGATCCAGTCCTTTTATTAATAAATTATACATTAAAGCAGTTATTAGAATTTGTTGAAATGAGAGTTTTTTGTTTTTAAGTTCTCATTCATTTAGGGAGAATGTTTTTTTTTGTTTGTAGCTTTTGCCTTATCTAAACAAAATGGGTGAATCCTAGTTTAAGTTATTTTCCTGGTCTTGTAAGTATTACAGGGTTTTAGAAGTATGAATTGCTTATTTGACATAAGATGCATTTCCTTTACAAATATTCTTCTGGAAAAAAGTAATGAGGAAGTCTAGAAGAATTTGTCACAATCATCTTTCTTTGATGGCAAATGCCTAGGGAATAAGAAGAGTTCCTTTTTTTGGGATTCCTTTTTAGAAAGAGCAGAGGGAAAAACTGATTTCTTTTTGCTCTGATTTTTCACTTTTATGCACACAAACTAATTATTTTTAGGATGGAATGTACTTTGAGGATTTACTTATACTTCTAACTATTGACATGAAATCATATTTTGTTAATTGTCAGAAAAATAATACAGTGTTCTATTCCTCAATATGCAGTTAAGGCACATTAAAAATTGCTTAAGTGGGGGCTGGCCCCGTGGCCGAGTGGTTAAGTTCGCGTGCTCCGCTGCAGGCGGCCCAGTGTTTCGTTAGTTCGAATCCTGGGCGCGGACATGGCACTGCTCATCAGACCACGCTGAGGCAGCATCCCACATGCCACAACTAGAAGAACCCACAACGAAGAATATACAACTATGTACCGGGGGGCTTTGGGGAGAAAAAGGAAAAAATAAAATCTTTAAAAAAAAAAAAATTGCTTAAGTGTGCTGGAATTTCTCCAGCTTTATTAAATATTATGATCTTTGATCTTTGAATTTTGAAATGATTTTTATCTGCATAAATTACTTCCTTAGGTGTGTAATTGAGGTTACAAATTGGATTGCCTTTCCCAATTTAAAATAGTTTGGAAATGAGAAATGTCTTTTCCCTTTGAACTGGATAGTGATCTTATCTCTTTTTACCTCAGTGGAGATTTGAAAGCACATATGTATGTCTGTGTACATTTGTGTTACTATGTGTTTAGCTGCGATAAAACATCTCTTCGTTCCAAAGAGGAGCGTTGTGATATTTATGTAGGATTTAAGTAGTACTTTTTTATGAAATGGAAATAGTTACATGTTAGAATGGAAATTTTTTTCTCTTTGGGTTTTCTCTGTGGTTTTGTTACTGGTAGTTGGTAGCTGTTTAATTCTAGCCCCTTGACAGTCATTAGACTTAGGAATAATCCTAAATATCACAGAATATTGGAACTAGAAAGGACTTTAAAGATGCAGGATGGAAAGCCATCACAGTGAGGATGCAGCCTCTGTCCTCATCAGCCTCCAGCTGCCTGAGGGCTGGGCTCCATGGCAGAGCACACAATGAGGAGTCACCCCACCTTCTCCCCCAGGCACTAGGAAGGGATTTTCCTTTTAAGAAATGTTATTTTCCTGTGACCTTATTTTTTGGAACCAGAAAGGCAAGGCAACAGAACTTAGCTGACTGTTGAGAGGAAAGATCTAGATGAATTAGGTTGCAGCTTCAGCTGTCTTTGAATTTCATTCTGATGTCCCAGTAAGTCAGTAAGTGTGAAAAATCAACAAACAGATCTATGAAAAAAGGAGCATTGAGTTAGCAAATTAGAACAAACAAGGGCTTGGGGCCTTTTCCTGATTGTCTCCAAGTGTACTGCAAAATTTTTCTTTTTAGAGATGGAACTCCTTTACATTTATGAATTGAGAGTAATAGTAATTTTACGGGTCTCTCCAAAGTAATGTTGAAAAGTTTGCATCGTGTTGTGTTGTCAGTTTCTTAGACCAGTGTCAAAGTTGAAAAGTTTGTCATCATCTGGTTAAATCTGGGAAGCAACCCTCAGGGATGGTGGTGAGTTACAGAGATGAAAGGGACCTAGGTAATGCTGCACTTCAGCCCTGAGGACCTCAGGCTTGGGGAGAGAGAGACACACAAACACCACTGTTCTGGCGGCAGGGTAGATGGTGGTTAGTGCTTAGTTATTCAAACCAACGTCTGTGGCACAGAGAGAGAAGGACTGACTGACTCACCGGAGGGTTCTTGAGGAAGGCTTCCTGGAGGGCGTGGGATCTGAGGTGGACCACAAAGGATGAGAGAATCAGTACTTAGATGTTGGGATGGCATATTCCTGGCCCAGGAAAGCACTTGCTTGTATTTAAGCCCAGGGGGGCAAACAAGGGTGTGTTTCAGGAATGGCAGCCAAGTCTATTCAGTAAGCGACTTAACCCTTCTAAGATTTAGTTGTCTCCTTTGCAAAAAGGATTAATGATAATACCTATCTAATAGGGTGAAATGAGGATTAAAATAAGAGTAAGAAGCAGAAACCAATTTGCAAAAGCTTAAAGAGATGGCTGTAAGGGACATTAAACGGAAAAGTTTGGCCCTGAGATGAAAGTGAATTATTGGTTGAGGGGAAGTCAACCTCTGAGGAGGGTTTCCGGCACATAGAGAGTTTTGAGCTTGGTTTTAGGCTGAAGGAAGGAGGCCATTGTGGAGGGAGAGAGTGGAGATATCTGAGACTGTGGATAATTGGGGACCCCAGGTCCCACAGGTAGGGCTAACATTGGAAAGGAATAAGCTCTCTTCTCTCTCAGCCTGGAGTAAATGAAACATGAAAGGAACACTGACACTGGAGTAATGAGATGGTATCCCCTTTATCTTTTCCAGGTAGACACTGTGTTAGTGAAAATCTAGTTGTAAGCTTGAA